TTTTATGTAATTACTTATATAAATTACTTAATAAAGATATGAGCAAGGCCTCACCTTAATATTTAAAAAAAAAAATATGTATATATATTTTATAGAATTATTAATATAAACAAATTTTACTTCTTATTTGGAAAAATATCATCAACACTATACTGATTTTTTTTTAAAAAATTAAATACTCAAATATAATAGGTAAAAGATTTGTTCTTTTAACAAATATTATATTTCTAGCATCACTAAAAAGCCTCTTACTAGGTGTAGAAGTAGCTAAAATAGCTAAATACTTTCATGCTAAGTAAGATAAAACTTTAAAACAACCTTGATTACTTTTTTACTATTTAAATGAATATTGGTTATAAGAAATTTCTGATATTCCAATATAGTTAGAGATTTCATTTACTTGAACATTATTTGATTGAAACATAGAGGCTAATAATTTACTTATAGGTAGTAATGGTTGTTTAATGGGTAATATATTTGTTCAATTTTGATGTTGTTTATATAATTCACGCAATAAATTATAAGTTTTGGATTTTAAAGATTCTAAAGCAAAGTTTAGTGCTTTACACCAAGGATCAAGTAATATAGCTAATATTCCTTCTTCTAATAGTACTTCCCAGTAATAGTTTATAGCATTATATAGAGCAATTTTTACTTTTTTTTCAAAATTTGTATAATCTTAAGAAATATCGAGTTGGTTTTGAAGATTTATAGACTCAATATTATCAGTTTGATTTTTGTTTAAATTAGTATCATTAAAAACACTTTTATCATCTGTATAATTTACTTCCTGTAGCTCAAGATCATCAGTAAGTATAAGATTATTAGTAATTGCATTAATTGTGCTATATATAAAGCTTATTGTTGTATATTTACTACCTCCCAAAAGATTAGTTGCCTCTGCAAATAGTTCAAGAACTGCAACAAGGCTTTTTATTGCTTTCCATTCAGTATCAGTAAGATTAATTTTTTTTAACCTTATACCTTCTTTATGTATTTGACAATCTTCATCACAAGAAAGCATTGTAATTAAAAGATTAATTATGTTTTAAACTTTAATTAGCCATTTCCAAACAAGATAATAAGAATTCCATCTTTTTGGTATATCAGCAATTATACATAATTCATGATCATTTTGAAAAAGATTCTAATATAGCATAATACAAGTAATATATCTAGTAACTTTAAATTAGGTAAAGATAAAATTCTTTAAATATCATACTTACAATATTTTCATTACATTTAAATTTTTTCTGAGCTTCTAAATGCTATTGAGTTTGTTTAGGGGAAGTAAAATATAATATAAGTCTTTTTGCTCTTGTAACTAAATTTTCTATTTCTAAAAGACCTTTTTCAACAACTAACTGAAGGGTGTGAGCTATATATAGTATACATATAATATTAAACATTAAATTTAATGCTTTAATCATATTATTACCATTAACAGTAGTAACTGTAAATACTTTATTATTAAAATTCTATTTATTAATAATCAAGTATAAAGTTTTAGCAATAATCTTGCCAATATGTAGATAAGGAAGATATTGAATAGAAAGTATATTTTCTTGTAATTAAAAATTATTATCAATGTAGTAACAAGTAACACCTAGATACCCCAATCTATTATGTCCAGTCCATAAATCACAGATTAGAGAATACGAAATAATATTTTTTTCAAATATATTTAATAAGGATTGTTTAGTATTTTTATATGCTTTAGAAAGTAAATGTTGACAATATTTTTCACTTGGAAATTTATATAATGGATCAAATTCTGCAATAAATGCTTTAAGACCTTTATCATTTCAAATACTTATTAGTTGCTGATCTATAATTAAAAGTTCAACAAATTTTTGATCTTTACATCACTTACGTTCAGAATTGTTATAAATCATTTGGTCAATTTAAAGTTGTGAAGGTTGTGGTTTTTTTGTTTTTTCTTTATGAGAATTTTCTGTAATACCATGTTATGTTGCTAAGTGCCTGATATAATTTCTTGTTGAACTATCTACTAATCACATAATATATCCACATACTTCACTTTTATGATTTTTGTAATTTTTAACTAAACAACTTACAATTGTTTTATAAGATAGCACAGGTTCATAGCACTAATAATATGACCAAACCCAACTTTGTCCTAAATGATTGGTAATAGAAACTAACTTTATTTTTTTTAGATTTGGTAAACTTGATACATTATTTGGGTTGTTTGGTAAAGTTGAAGATTCTTCATTAACTAGATTGTTATGCATATCAGGAATAGTATCATGATTACTATTAGCCAAATTATAATACTCATCATTGTTATCACTATTAACTGGATTATTGTATTTGGTAGAGATAAGCTCTTCAGATTGAGTATTTGATGTATATATATTAGATATTTTTTGTTTTTTATATTTTTTATCAAAGCTTGAAGAATAAATAGAAGAATCTTCTTCATTAAAAGAATCATCACTAAACATTTTTTTTTTTATTATGAAATTACAAAAACTTAATTTTGTATTCTTTTGGTAGCAACATATCAATTCACATTATTTATATTTAATTATTACAGATTTCGAACCTATAATAATTTATTAAAATTACACATAATAATTCAAGTTCTCATATTATGATTTGATTTATCATAGATCTCAATCATACAATTCTCTTTAAAATTATGTAATATCAATATTAATTTTTTTGTATAAAAACTTAAAGTTATCACAGGTTTTAACCTAACAATATTTCTATAAATTAGATGCAAATAGACTTATAATATAATTAAATAGATCATGCCACATGCTTATTGAATTTCGTACAAATGTTATTGCTTGACAGAGTTTTTATTTAAAAAACAAAGAAGTAATATATGAGTGCCGCCAAGAGAAAACCTGTTATTAGACTTTTAATTATATTTGTATACAGTTAGCTGTCTATAGAAAATCTATCGTTATGATAGATTTTCCATAAATGGCTAACTGTACACAAAATATAATTGAAAGTTTGATAACTGGTTTTTTCTTGGCAGCACTCATATGAAAATAGAGTTTTGCCATTCTTCTTAGCTATAATTTACTGCTTCTTTGTATAACTATTGCTAATATATATATATATATATGAATTAATTACAGAAAATAATATAGTTTAGCATATATAGAGAATCAAGATTTTGCTATAATTTTCATATGATTAAATAGAGATTCTTGCATTTCTATTACAACTATAAAATTTATATCCATTAACCGAATAATAATTCTACTATTCATATCTATTGAGCATTAAGCAATCTTTTATCTTTATCAAAAGATTATTAAACCTCTAAACTATTAGATAGATAGTATAATAGCAAACAAAAAAACCTCAAACTTATTTATAAAATAGTTTTTAAACACCTTTCTATTCTTAGCTAGCTGTTACTCTTATTATTTTACTCTGTTTACTAACTCATTCCTGTAATAATAAAATATAATCTGATTTTTTAGTCAAATTTTTCCATGTGCATATATGTTTAATATTCTATCCTGAGATTATCTAATACATGCATTTATATAGCTTTAATTACATTTATATAAAAGACTAAATTAGTGATTTTTTAGTTGAAGATTGTACAACAACTGTTATGTAATTTTAGCTATTCTTAAAATAGTTTAAAAAAAATTAATAGCACAATAGATTTATTGTGCTAACAACTAATAGATCAAGTAAATATCTTAATTAGCATATGAAATGCTATTATGGTTGATTAAAAAATTTGAATACAATATTAAAGAAGTTTTAATCGTGAAAAAATTAACTGAATATCTTAATTAATTACTTGTTAATCAATTTATAACCTGTTATTCAAGTAATCTAATAGTTAACTAGTTACAATACCTTAGAGTACAATCACTAACAACATATTATTATAACTATATTTTACCCGAATAGCAAAATGATAGTGCAAAAATTTGGCAGTTACATAATTTCCAATATCAATCGGGCTAAAAAAGTTTGAAAAACATAATTGGGATTGATATTTAATCTCTACAATATTTCTTCAAATATAAATTAAACTATATAATTTAATTTAAAGATATAAATATTCAAAGAGATTAAATATTAACTCTGATTATTTTTTTTAGTTGGCGCAGAACATTTTTAGCCCGATTGATCTCAGAAATTATATAATTGCCAAATTTTTGCACTATTACTTTGCTATTCATTTTATCCTATATTACTCTAGGTTATCTCTTAAGTTAACTAGATATCCTAATTGTATAACCTGTAGTCAATTTTATAGTCTAGCTATCTGGATAATCTAACAGTTAACCAATTACAATACTTTAGAGTATGATTACTACTATATTGAAGTATAGACTTATGCTTTTATATCTATCTAGAATTTAATATAACAGAATTCATCAATCTATATTACACCTAGTAAAGTAAAAAATATCAATACTATCCATAGTAGCAAACATCGTACCAAGGCATCCTAAAATAATAAACTTTAAAAGTCTGTGAGATAGACTTATCAAGCATCACTTCACTAAACTCTTGATCAAATTAAACATGAGCAGACCTATAGAAAAATCAATAGTTATAAGATTAAAACAGAAACAATTAAAAGCAGGCTCAATAAAATATATACTAACAAATCAAGAGTTACTAGAAAAGAGAAAGCTTAAGATAAAAAACTTAAATATACAAATAATACAAGAAGCAAGATCTTTAGGGTTCACAATAGAAAAAATTGATTTTACAAAAAATTAGAAGTCTAAACTTATACAAATTGACCAAGATTATAAAATTGCAGAAATTTTGGAGAAAAACAATTTTATTTATAAGAAATCAAGTACAAGCAAAATAGGTTTATACTTGTTAATATAACTTCTATCAGAAAATAGTGATTATTATTTTTTTTTTTTGGTATTAAAGTGTTCTTTTTGGCCTGAGAACTTTTTATTAGTAATTATTTGCTATTATAGTTATAATAAAAATACAACTAGCTACATGTGCACTTTTTGATATCTATTTAAGTAGTTTGCTAACAGGTTCTATACTAGATATCATACCTATAACCCAACTAGAGAGTTAGTTACCTATTTAAACTTTCTAATTCTAACTATTTTTAAGTATATCATACTAACCTGAAAACTACTATTTAGCACGTTCTACTAGATTGTGCAATTTAGTCTTAGAACTTCTAAGACTTATTCTGGGTTTGCATTGACTATTACTAGCTTGTTTTCTCTGTTAAGCAGATGCATGGCTATTCTTAAAGTAAATCTAGCCTTCTCTATCCTATTTGGGCTAGTCTAGTTTTACACAGTTGCTAAGGCTCCTACTTGTAGTTAGAATTATTTTTATTTAACCACTTTTGCTTTTATAAAGTTTACTCCTAATCCCAGTATCAGCATTCAGACTTTTTCTTTTTTTACTATTTCCTTATTAGTTTATCTCTTATTTCTAAGAGGAGTGTGATTTATCATTTGATTTTTTAAGTAGGTAGGGGGTCATGAAAATATTAGGTCTTATATATAGTATATATAATACTAACTAATCAAATCTCTAATTCGTAACCTCTAAATGATGCTAAATATTTTGCACAAGATCTTGGTTCATACCTGTAGTGCAATTGCAAATATCAGTACCAAAGATCAGATCATAGATCATTTTAATATTCCAACTTGCAAGTCCAATGATTAAACTTGTGTCGATTACACGAAACAGACAAAAGATTTTGGAAGTCAAATGGTAATTATTAAAAATGTGAAGTCAAAGTTAAAGAATTGCAGGATGCTAAAATAAGATATATTTATTTAAGTAAAAATAAAATGAAAACATGTTTGACCTTAGTAGAATCTGTAAGTAATCAAAATTTTATATAGTGGTTTGAGTATATATAGCACATATTAATGGTTCAAATATATAACTTAATAGAATTAGGTTATGTTTCAAGAATAAGTAAGTGTCTGGGATATTTTGAATCCCTTAAAAGCAAGATATTAAAATTATCATACCGAAAACTACTTAAACATATGAGGTCTTTGCCTTGAAAATGACCTTATAGTACATGATATCGTAAGGTTATTTTCAAGCCAAAGATCCCATATATATAAAATGTTTACTGTTTTTAAGTAGTTTAAATAGTTTTAATAGTGGTAGCATAGTCAGCTTAAGTCTCAAACACATTATTTATATTATTTATACTAGTCTAATAAGCAGCTCAAAGATAAAATTTTAAACTTTATTTCATTTGTAATAACATAGCCAGTTATATTATTAGATCCAATATCTGAATCTTTTTGACAAAAAACAAATGAAATATTTTTGAAATGAAGATTTAAGATTTGATTTTTTTTTTTTTTTTATATTTGTCATATATATATATATATGCCTGATTTGATTTTTAAGAATTTATTCTAACACCAAATTTTTTTTTTAAGCATATTAGTTTAGGTTTTATGTCAAATATTAAAAAAAAAAAAAGTAAATTTATCATTCAATATTTGATTGTATCTTGTGCTATTCTATAACTACCTGTGGGTTCGAATATATTATATCTTTGGCAGAGTTAAAATTAGTTATTTGTTGGGATAAATATTCATATTTTGAACAATATTTATTCTGCTTGTGGTTAGTTAAATATTTGAAAGTAGAAAATATTTACCACATATAGTGCAGCATAAGCATTGGTGAAGTTTTTGTGAAATTGATAGACAACAATGAACATATAGTAAGATTTTGTGCTTGTTATAATATTGCAAGGCATGTATTGGGTTAATATAATCTTATCTTTGCCTTTCATAATAGGTGGAAGAAATCCATTGTTTTGATCCAAGAGAAGAGCTATATCAGATGCTCTATATTCATTACAACACAAAGTATTTTTATATTTCTTAATGTCTAAAGAATAATAACATATTTGTTCATGATCCTTGATCCATTCCCATGATATTACAGATCTTATTTTAGCAAATAGCTATTTGATTTGGTCTACATAATCTGTTGTAACTAGCTTACCATGTATATCATCTCTCTTCTATATATCGTACAGACTTTTTCTTGCAAATTCAAAGTTTTTACACACCAAGTCTTTATTTAAAACTCTTTCCTGACTATCTAAATAAGATCTGAATTTATTAATAGGTAGCGTGATGCCAGCAAGTTTTGTGGATAAAGAAGCTATAAAATGTTTGATGAGTTGTATACGCTCTGCTCTGGAGTATATGTATATATAGTTAAGTAGTCAAGATCAAATTTACAAAAAAAATTACAGTATGGAATTATATTTTTCATATATTTGAAATTCTTATCAGGTTCCCTGTCAACCAGAAGAACCCAAACTGGTTTAACTTTGTCTTCTTTTATTATAGCTGTAGCAAATTGTTGATTGGAAATGATATTTTCAAGGTTAGACATATAGATTAATAATATTGTACCAACAAAATACTCAGGTCTAACAAATATTGCAAGTTAACTCAGATAAAGATTATCATTTGAGTTGGTTAGATTAATAACAAGATAAACAGAGGATATGAGTTTCATTTTACTACCGACTAGAAAATCATAGTCAGTGACTAAGACAGGTTCATTGATAGTTTGAATGGTTTTAAACATATGACCAACTGCCAGAACATCTAAACTGACTTTCACTTTATCATCTTAAAAGATGATAATTGTATTATCAGGAAAAACTTCAACCAGGGTCTGGGCAGCTTTGACAGAAGCTAGGCAATAATGTTTGTTAATGTGAGGTTTCATTTCTGTTCATGCTATAGAAACAATAGCTACTTTAGCTGGATAATAGTAGTGATATGCTGCAAATATATTTGGATGATAGGGGTTCTAAATACATAGATATGCATTGGCAAGATAAGTATACATTATATTTTTCTTCTAATGCTTTGCAAAGATACTTTATTGTGCACACTTTAATAACAACTTTTCTTCTTTTTTTGTGTATAGCTCCAAATTCAATACAGTCATAAATTTTATCCCAAAAATCAGGATGGATTATTGCTGCTAATGGCCTTCCAGGTCTATCATATTTTTTTACAATACCTTCTTCAAGCATTTTTACTTTTTTGTTTTTGAGCTTTGCTTGAGCTTGGGCATGTTGTTTGAGCTTTTTTAATCGTGTTTCTTGTTCATTAACTGTTTTTTTTTTATTAACCATATTTGATACCAATATTTTCTTAAATGATTCATCTGTTGAAATTAAGTATATTTGTTCATATTCTGATATTTTTTTAGCTGCTGATTTTATTTGTTAAAATACATCTTGTTGACTTACAGCATTTTTAGGTGATTCTTCTTCATATTGTTGTAGAAACATATGAATCAATGAAGTATTATTTGATAAAGAAGAGCTACTAGAATTACTTGTATTACTTGAGGTAAATTTTGATTGATAACAATAAATATATAAAGGAATTGAATTAAAATAGGAATGTATTTTTTTATCAATTACTATTTTACCTTCCTTTTTGGTTTGTTTCTATTCCAGGTTACAATTCTTTATAAGTTGTTGACGATTTGGGTTTGGGTTGCAAAGAGATACTTGTTTATAATATGTAAATGTATTACAAAACTTTTCATAAAGAGTTTGAGGCTCTTTAAAGAAAAAAGTTTATTGAAATTAGGCATTGATAAGAAGCTTTGCATTGTTTTGAAACTTATTATTATAGATTAATGACTGAATTTATAGAACTTTAAAAATACTGTTTATATTTTTATTCACACTTTACCAAGAAAATTTTTTTAGAATTATAAGAAGGAACAACTTTTGAAAACAATTTTTTTTTTATTTTTTAAATTTTTTTTTAAATTTTTTAAAATTTTTTTTTTTAATTCTTTTATTTTTATTTTATTTATTTGTTTGTTGTTAAATAGTATATAGTGGAAATTCAGAGCATTGAATCACACAAATGTTTTATGGTTAATTAGAAGAACAACACACGTATTAACATGCAATTTGCTTCAGTCTTAACCAAGAATTATATATGGAAAAGATGATATATGGTAAGATGAGCATAATTTTTTGTTAGAGACTAAAGAGCACCTTTTAAATACTCTTTTTTTTTTTTTTTTTGGTTAATCACAATCATAGTTACAATTTTAGAGAGTATTGTATTTTATATATAGACAACACACTATACCATTGTTCGAATTTTGGAGGATTGAATTTTTTTAGCTGTCATTAAGATAAGTAACCTTTTTATAATTATATAAACAAGTCAGGTTACTACTTTTACTATCTAGCTCATTTCTAAATAAGTTTAAACAATACAATGGGTTGCATTTATATTATATTATTATGTGATTGAGCATTTTTTCAAAAAGTCTTTTGTATTACAATATTTAACCTGTATTACTCAAGACTACAATTTGGCTAAATGTGTACTTAACTATAACATTTTAATTATTACTATTTGCAAAATGATATATCTTTGATCAAAAATTTGTAGATCACAACTCATACGTACAATCACTTGATTGTTGTTTGATTGTGCGATCATGCAAATTGTTTTTTAAAATATAGATATTATTTTTGAAAATATGAATATAAGAAGGTCATAATTTGTAAAAATATTTTATTGCTTGAATTTTTATTAAGAAAATCGCACATAATTAAATGACAATCAAGTAATTGTTCATATGAATTGCGATCTGCAAAATTTTATCAAAGATATATCAATGTGCAAATAGCAATAAATAATTTTTTTATTTTATTTTAATGCCATATTTACTTGTTTACTGTATATAATGACCAACTAAACTTTTCTTGATTATCACTATTTGCAATATGATGTATCTTTGTAGATCATAGCCAACATTACAACCAGTTATCAATCATCTGATTTTATATTATTGTGTAATTATAAGTAATGATTTTAGCAAATACTTATATAGTAGGTGAAATGCTATATTTATATTTGAATTATAGGTTAAAAAATGCAATTTCACAATTGCATAATTGTGATTGATTGTGATGTGGGCTATGATATACAAAGTTTGATCAACGATATTATTTTGCAAGCAGCAATAAAATAAATTTATAGTTTGATGAAATTATAAGAATATACAGAATAATGCAGTATCTTATATGTTATTGTTTTTTTATAGCAATAATACTAAATTTAAACCAGAATCAATCTTTCTGATTTTTTTTAATTATTTTAAATTTGGATATAAAACTGAATCTACTGAATTTTATTACCAGTAGATGGCTATATCACAAAAGGCAGTCTATGCATAGTATGATCATTTATATTAAATCCTATTTTCTGTCTATTAGCATTAATCATTCAGAATCATGACAGGTATTTTGTAAGGATTATGATCTGAATAATCCTATCCTCAATCTGAAATATATTATGGATCTATCTGTTTAAAATTGATGGATAAGGATATTCGTATTTAATCCAAATTATCAGATCAATTCAAATTAGTCAGATTGTAGATCAAAGCACTAATTAATTGCTAAACCAGAGTCGAATTTCTAATTTCATATATTTTTTTTTGCACTTTATTAATATTCTTTTAATCGGCTAACTAAATCAATAAAGTTCTCTTTGCAAATACTTGTCACTTCTGTAATTTTTGTAAAGTTTTTTCAAAGAACAATTAAAAATTAACAATTGTATTTTAAGATTGTATTTTAAAACATTCACCATTTTGTGATTGAATATAAACAGAGTATATATATATACTTTTAATTTTTATATATTAGTTAATTATAATTAATATTTTAACCAATCAAAAACTTTGAATTTATTATCAGGTGGGGGTAGGGGTTTAGCCACTTAGTATACTCTAATTACTTGATAAATGGTGCTTCTCTAACCAATAACCCAGAAGATTTGATCTTGGCTTGGCTTTAAGTATCGGTGCCCTTGTTTTATCTTGATACATAATTTTTCAGTATATATTTTTTTCTTCCAATTTGGTAGGCTAGTTCTCTGAACATATCTGGTATTTTTCTATCAGTTATCTAACTTCTATAGCCTCTAGTTATAGTGAGTAGAGCCCTTACTACTAGTTTTCCATACTGGTTGGCCAGAGTTGAAGTATTCTACTGTATAATGCTTTACAGATTTTTAATTTTCTAAATTAGTAGTTAAGTTGGTCAATTCTCTACTAAAAAATCTTGCTATTGTTCAGTTCTTCAATCTTGGTCCTAACTTTCAAATTTGAGTTTTTCTTATAATACTATCAAAATTATGGCTACTCTTTACTCAGGTCTTCCCAAATGAGTTTTGATTATCCTAGTTTCTTGGCCTTTTATGTATTAAAGCTTCCATATAAATATAGTGTTACTAAAATTACAACTTCTAAGACCCAACTAATCAACAAATAATTGTTACTATAACACAGACTTATTTTTAAAATTGTTGTTCATAGGATTTGAACTTTGGATCTGCTATTTGGTAGGGTAACAACTAGACTACTTCACTAAACTGCTACACTATAGAAAATAGTAATTATTTATATACATAGAAACAAATAAAATTACTATATAAACTCGACCTAAGAGGAAAGAAAACATGTTGGTTTACTGAAGTAGAAAAAGAGATAATTACAAATATGTAAACAAGAGAAATAAAGCCACTCTACAAACCAGAAATCTATAATTTAAACATATCCAAGATAACAACCAAAAGAGTAAAAGATAACAAAAGAATAAAAAAGTAGATTACTTGGCTTAAAGAAGACTATACATAATTAAAAATTAAAAAAATAAAAACAAGTATGTGGAGATTAATAATTTTATAGAAAAGGAGAATCTATTAACAAAAAAAAAAAAAAATCTAGAGTAGTACTTTGATTCTTAATCTGATTTTCCAAATTAACCTTTAAATCTAGATAGATTTTGATATCTAATCAGAAATTCTTGTTCGAATTGGTTAAAGAACTTGGATAATGAACCTAAAGACATGCTACAAAACTAGCTTTATATATAATCTAATACAGATTCAATTCAGATTTAATAAAATCCAGATTGCCTATCAAAAATAAGATCGAAGCCTATACTAGAGTATAACAAAAAGCAAGCACTAGTAATTATAAAGTATAAGAAACTAAGAGATATATCTAACTTAGTGCAAAAATCAGAAGTAGGTTCTTGAATGATATTTAAAAAACAAATGTTAGAAAGAGTAATAAAAGAAAGTATAAGTAAAAAAAGTATAGTAATAGTAAAAAAGTTGAATAATATTAAATAGAAAGAAATAGTTATGATAGGTTGTATAAATTGAGAAAAGTGCTTGATAAATAAAGTAGTTAAAAATAGTAGTAGTAAAAATAAATTTGTAGATATTTTAAAAAAAAATAGAAAACTAAATAGTTTAATATTTTATACAAATAGCTCACTTAGTATTATAAAGAATATAGAAGAAAAACATATAGTTATGGAATTGTATAAGTAACAAACAAAAGACAAATAGCCTATTAGTTAGCTATTGTGACTAAAAAATAGTTCTTTTTAACAAGAGCAGAGTTGGTAGCAATATTTGTTGCACTTTTAATCACACCAAAAGAAAAAAAAACAGTAAAAATAAGAACTGATAGCAGTATAGCAATATTAGCAATCGAAAAAGATTTAAAAAAGACTAATGAAATAAGAAAGTAGCTAAAAATCAAAAATAGTGATTTAATTGCTACAATAGTAGAAATGATTAAGACCAAATTACTAAAGCCACAATTCATCAATATTAAGAGCCACTCAGATAAATTTTACAATAACCTAGTAGATCTAAAAGCTATTATGTTTATAAATTTTTAAAAATTTTTACAATTGTTTGAAATTATACATTTATATTTAAAATTGAAATATTTTGCAAATTTTTATAATTATTCAATCTATATGTCTATATAAATTTAACTATACAAATTTTTGCAAACTTTTGTAATTTTATATATTTTTTTAAAATTCTAAATTTTTGTAAATTATTACATTTATATAAATTTTTTGCAATTTTTTGAAATTATATATATTTAGATATAATATTGAAAATACTTAACAAATATTTGCAAATTTTTGTAATTTTATATGTTTATATACAAAATTTTAAATATTTTGCAAATTTTTTGTAGATATTTGTAATTTTATATTTTATACATTTATATATATATATATATTAATTTCTGTAAATTTTTGTAATTTTATACATCTATATATAATTTTTAATTATTTTTAAATTTTTAATTTTAGTAATATTAATATTTATAAAGCTATAGTAATTGATAAAATGCGTTATTTAGATTTAGGATTATTTAACTATCAAATTACTTATACTTGTGATCTTTTAAAATCTTTATATAGATATTCAATAT